ATATGATCTTAAGGTGTATTAGGCAAGGCACTTTCAGTAGATCTAGGGGACAGAGGTTGATACCTCAGTCTGAAATATTGTATGTGGTTCTGGCCACCATGTTCAAGAAAGATGAATTCAAACAGGAACTGGTTCAGAAATGGATATTAACATAATCATTATACAAATAGAAAGGCAAAGAGATAAGGGGCACTGAGAAAGTGGAGATACTGAATGGGGGAGCCAAGGAGTAAAATCAAGAGATAAGACTAATGTGTGATGGAGTAATGGTCAGCTATGCCTTGAAAGGACCCCAGGTGAGCAGATGTCATTGCACTCTACCACACACAGCAGAGAGTCTTCAAGGGAGAAGGGAAAAAAATCCAGCTTTTACAGATCACTTTAAAAAATGTTCAATTAGAGAATCGGTAATGGACAAGTTGATTTAAAATCTGGGTACTTCCTTCAAGGGATGCAGAACTTTAAGGGGTCAGGCTGTACGGCTCTCCCCAGAAGGCTAAAAATTCACTCCAAAACAATCATTGGAAATGTTTTCCCCACATGTACTTCACCCCAGGGTGATAAAGAAAACCCAGCAACCAGTAAAGCCAGAGCTTATCATCTTGTGAATGCTGAAAAAGTTGGTTCGAGCAAACTCTGCAAACTCCTAGCTAAATAAATAAAGAGCTGAAACATGCCTGCCTCTGAATTGGAGAGGAGAGGGCATTCCTGTGCAGGAACCCACAGGGCACCACCAAAGCCAGAGCAGGATACAGAAGTGCTCAGCGCTCACCCTTGTTCACAAGGGTACAGTCTGGCCCAGGGGAATTTGGGTGGCAGATAAACCAGAGCAGGAAACTAGTTTGAAAACAGAGCAGATTCCTTCCTCAACCCCATTTGCAATTGCTAGTCCCTCAAGATGCTAAACCACAGGAGAAATGTCTATGCCGATTCCCCTCCACCCCCCTTTGCCACCTTCCAGTTGAAAAAGCCACAGAAAAGGAGTGAGTGAGAACTCCCTGCTTTGCTCTAACATTTCCCTGAGAAGCTGGTGTGATTAACAGCTCAGCCTAGTGAGGGCTGGGGAAATTCAGAGGTGAGAATGTCTTGAAGACTTCTCTTTACAACGGTGATAGAGAGAGATAATCAGGAGCAATTTAATGAGATTATGAGGAGATAAACCCAGGACCCCTCAGAATAAAAAGCTCTGTTTCTTTTCATCTTTTTTTATTTTACTGTCCATATAGGTATGTATCTTTTAAATAAAAATGTATGCACATTAGAACACAGTCCAACCAATTAACTCAGACCACAGACAGTATCCACTCCAAGCATACTGTGAGGGTAGACCTACAAATATTTAAAATAAGATTTTTTTTTTTTGCAACAAACTTTCTCCCTCCAGAATCAAAGGAAGGAGGAAGGTTGCAAACATGCTCCGGCAATAAAACACTTAACTGCCCCTACCTCCCTAAAAAGATAGACGTGATTAACTTTAGTTTAAGACCTACTTGTTAATGTGCCTAAACTTTGCTTTGCATAATTAAGATTTACTTTGGAAGCAGCAGTCCCTCTCCTTTACCCCTGCATCCTAATTCCCCCCCCCCCCCCCAAATAAACCTCTCAAACTTGCTCACAGCAACGTGTTAAAGAATTTTCTCACTTTGAGGTGCCACCGAAAAAAGGGATCATAATGGAGTTCTTTGTTAGTGAAAAGGGACAATTATATGCCAGTGAACAACCTAGCCATTAAAGAGACTCTTAAAGAGACAGGGTCCCATTTCACAGAGGGCTATTTTTTTTTTTTTTTGGTTGGGGATCGAGTATAAACATTTCCAAGCGCTTGCACATCTAATTAAAAAGACATTCTTATAAATGTTATTTAGGCTTTACATGTATGGAGAACGTCATTAGATAACGGTGCGGAAATATACCTACACATGTCACTACCCAGATCGATCATCTACCTCTGTTAGACTGACCGCATCTTGCCCTAATCCTGCAAAGCCCGTGCAGCCCATGTGGGCTCGGGATAGGCGGGTGACATGCGCTGATCTGAAGGTGGGACACCCCTTAACACAGCCGGGCGTTACAGCCCACATCCCGCAACGCGACGTGTGTAGGGGTCTTTGCGGGACACCCTGGAAGCCCGTGGCAGGACCCGTGGGCACGGGGATGGAGGACTGTATTACCTCTTTCAGCTTCTTTGCA